AAATTTTGGAGTACCAAATATTCTCACCCCTTGCACATCTGTCTTTAATACTGACAATATATAAGGATCTACCAAAGTGATGAAGAAAAAAATCAATGTAATAATTAATCAGAAGATATTTTATACAATGTATTTAAATCCTGGCTCTGTCAATATAGTGATTGTGTAAATGGTACAAATTACTTTCTTGAGTCTTAATGTCCTCATCAATAAAACAAAAGGAATGCAGGTGGTACATTCCTAATACCAAAGTTTGAAATTCAAAATGCTCCAAAATTCCAAAACTTTTTGAGCACTGCTAAGATGCCACAAGTAGAAAATTCCACACCTGATACTTTTGCTTTCAAATGGTTCTATGTACACAAATCTTGTTTCGAGCACACAATTATTTAAAAATTGTGTATAAAATTACCTTCAGCCTATGTATAAGGTATATGTGAAACAAAAATGATAAATTTCATGATTAGACATGGGTCCCATTCCTAGGCTATCTCCTTTTATGTATATGCAAATATTCCACAAAGTGAAACAATCTGAAATCCAAAATAGTTCTAGTCCCAAGCACTTTGGATAAGGAATAGTCAACCTGTATGTAGCTGGCAGCTGAGCATTACACGAGTCAACATAAATGAAAGTGTCTCATCGTGCGGTGTTTTCTACGCCAGGTGGTGCTTTAGGCACGGGGGATATGGTGGTAAGTGGCGAACATAACAAACGATTCCTGACCTCACAGAAGAGGAAAAGCTGGTAAGCTGACTTGAGTAGACACAGAAGGAAAACTAGACTAGTCAGGATATCACAGAAGCATAGAAAATAAGGTATTTCAAGAAAGGGGGAATATAAAAAATGTGCAGGAGGGGATCAAGCGGAAAGAGGCATGAGGGAATTTTTACATAATGAAAACATTTATATCATGATTGAAATGGTAGCTTCACAACACTTGTCAAAACTCATTAAGTTGTACACATAAATTGGTGAATTTTATTGTATGAATACTTATACCTCAGTAACTCTAATTTTTAAAAATGTAAATATTATGAAATATAATAAAAAGGGTAAGGGAACTTTTCTAGATACAAGGAAACTAAAAAGCAATGACAAGTAGATGGAATATATGATCTTTGGACCCTGAATTTGAAAACAAAAAACCAAAACTATAAAGGACATTTTGGAGGCAAATGAAATTTAAAATATGGACTACATATTGAAAACCTGTATTGTATCAATGTTAAACTTTAAAAAAATTTTTTTTTAGTATAGTCATTTAATTGTGGTCATGTAAGAGAATGTCCTTTTCATAGGAGATACATTTTCAAATATTTAGGGGTAAAGTATCAGGATGTCTGCAACTTAATTTCAAATGGTTTAAAAAAAACACATGAGTATAGATAAAACAAATGTAGAAAAATGTTAACAATTGGTGAAATCTAGGTAAAGCATCTCCAGATAGTCACTGAACTTATCTTTCAACTTTTCTATATATTTGAAATGTTTAAAAGTAAGAATTGGGGGACAAAAGAAAAGGAAGTAGTTATCTGTGTCAAATATTGTTGAGAGGACAGCTAAGATGAGAATGGAGACATAACCTTTGACTTTGACTTGGCCATTGATTACCCTTCTACAAGAGCATGTCCGTGGAGTGGAAGGGCAAAACCTTGGTAAAGGTGAACAGAGGAGAGAATGAGAGATAAAGAAATGGAGGTAGTGGAGTACAAGTGACTCTTTCAAGAGTTTTACTATAAAAGGTAGCAGAGAGATAAAATGTGACATCAAAGGCGTCTCCATATGCCACCGGTAATATTAAGCATTTTATATGCTGATGAGAATGATACAATAGAGAAGAAAAAACTGACGTATAAAAAACAAACAGTATAAATGCAGGAGTGAGGTCTTTGGGCACTGTGGGAGGTGCTAGGATTTAGGGACCAAAAGGAAGGAATCACCTTAGAAGAGGGTGATGACAATAAAGACAATGACAATGATGACAACTGTGGTAACAGCAGCTACATTGAAAATATTTAAAGCACTGTTTAAAGTGTTTTTACTCATTTAATTTTCACACCAGCTCTAAGAAGAAAGTATTACTAATATCTACTTTGATAGGTGAGGAAATTGAGGTACAGCAAAGTTGAATAACTTGCTCAGCGACACATATCTTTATCCTAGCAAAGCTAGGAGTTAGAAGCCAATAGAAGAGATTTTTCTTTCAGTGCAACAAGAGGGAAGGCATAGTGTGTGGGTGTAGATGCAGCTGGGCTGGTGGTAGTGGAAACATGACGTAGCTCTTGTATGATTACATCTATTTTCTCAAGTAGCATTTGGTGAGTTCATCAGCTGAGGGGCTGGGGAGAGAGGATGTTGGAGTTTTGAGAAGAGAAGGTGAGAAATTCTTGTTTCAGAGAGAGAAGGTGAATTTAAAGCAATGACTGGCAGTACTGAATACCCCTTTGAAATCAATGGTCATAAATTTGAAGTGGATCTACTTGTCCTGGATAATACTTCCTAGCAGTTATCAGCTGCTTGAGAGCAGGCATAAAGAGGAGAGTTGGGTTTAACTAGGGTGGATTTTTCCAGGCAAGTGGGAGCTAGGAAGAAAGGAGCCAGGGGTAAGGGGTATCCATAATAGGGTGATGACAGTAGGGGACCACGGAAAGGAGGACTGTGTGGTCATTAAGGACACGTAATAAATATAATAAAAAGGGGTAGGGTCAAAGAACTGGGGAGTAGTTGGAGTGTGAATATTAAAGTAAGTGAGTAAGTAAGAGTCAGAGAGTGGGATGTTTGAACAGGAGGATGACAAAGTCTCAATTATCACCATATAGATGGAAGTCTGAGGTGGTGCAGAATAAAGGACGACTAGATCTCAAAAAAAGGTCAGAGTGCTGGATAAATCCTCTGTGTGGATGTTGAAGCTATGCAGATGATATAAACAGTGGTGGAGAGTCAGAGGTGAAAGTTGGGGAGATGACAGCAACAAAAAAGGATAAGGGGAACCAAGTCTGATGTGATAATCTAGGAAGATGTTAGGGGAACGGAAAGAGAGGAGAGATCATTTGGAAGTTGTAGTGGGGGGCAAGGTTACCACCCACTTCCTGCAGGCTTTGAGACACAGGAGGTGGGGGTGGGGGGAATCAGGCTCTAATTTGAGAAGAATCTTCAGTTAGAACAAGAAAGTAAAAGAATTGTTCAGAGAAGAGGCTGGTGATACAGCATGGTACTCAATCGATCAATATTTCCTGAATTTGAATCTTAATTTTTCTAATAGTTTATTATATCCTACAAAGGATAAATAGGAAACAATTTAAGAACAGACTATTTACAAAGAATCTTAAACAGATTAAAAAGACAATGATCCTCTAATGACTATATTTTCTAAATCTATGAAAGGCTTCTCTTCAAAAATCAGTCATCTGGCCAAGATAAACATAGTTCAATAGCATCTTGTTGTTTTTGGCTTAATATAAATGAACAGCTCACAGTTATAAAATAAAACCAGGCATTCTTTTGCATAAGAACCCAATATCAGAACAACAAAATTAAGTGAATTTTGCCATGAAGAAGCTTAGAAAATAGCCTTTCTGAGCATAAACTGACCAACGTTAAATCTAGTATAGTACAAATAAAATGAGAATAAATGAGGTTATTTGAATATGGGTTTTGCAGTATAATAAAATACACTTTGAAATATATTTCTCCTTCTTCAGCTAGTAGTATGATTATTCCAAGAATAACTTCAGAAGCATGCCTTTACTGAAGAGAGATTCTTCTCAATGTTATTATTCCTTTTCGTAAAATTGTTGACTATCTTTGTCAGACTAAGTAAATAATATAATTTCTTTATGCTTTAACAAAAAAACCTCTATTTTTATGTCTATAAAGTTGCTTCTTAGGCATTCTCATAAGCTGTCTGTATACAGATCATGAAATTCTATAGTCCTCTATGGTCTTATAACGTACGATGAATAGTACTTATTCCCTAAAGACTAAATTTTATTGAAATTTATCCAGAACCCCCACCCAAATTCAGTGTTTTATTTCATAATTGTATTTGAAAGTTTAGTCATGATAATCAGAATGTCTACTGGTTCAACTGCGGGATAGTCAAAGGGATTTTCATTTTCATCTTTCTCATATACTATGAAGTTTTTACCACTAGGCAGAAAATTGATTAGCAGTTCCAGATGCCAGATAAATGAACTTGAAAAAGATGGTCAACTCTCCTATTTTCAATAAACCGAATAAGATGTGTCAGAGAAAGCAATTAGTCAATAATATACACAGTGCTCATTTATAATACACAGCTGGTATTGGGAGTTATTCTTTAATCTAAAAAGAACTCAGCTGGAAGTAATCTCTCCTTCACTAAATGTCTTTAGTACTTTGTGTATTACTTATGGGATTCTCTCTTTAGAGTACAGTGATTCCTGTGCTTGTCTTTTTTTTTCCCCTCTTGTAGACAATAAGCAGGTATGCCTTAACATCTTTGGAATGTAATATTATTTGAATCTTGTTTAATGGCCAGTACTACTAGTAGAACAAAAATGCAATAATGATACTATCAATATCAAAATCATCAGTGTTATAGATTAGACATAAATAGGTTTTTGTGGCTTGGTCTAGGATCACATCAACATTTAGGTAACAAAGGAAACTACTTTAAGTTCCAGAAACCTAGTTTACAAATTCACTGTCAGAACAGAGCAGGGACTTCTTATACTACATGTATGACTAGAAAGGCTCCCTTCAGCAAGTCTGCAGAGCAGTCAAGATGCTAGCTTTTCCAATTTAGTAAATAAAAGAAAACTACTTTTTGAAAATTAATTTTTGAAAAGAACAATGGAATTTAAAAATAATATTTTTTCAAATAAAGTGGAAAAGTCAGAAATAATACATGAGTATATACTTGCTTAACCAAACATTTTAAATGTCTTAAGTAATCCAAAGAATCTGGGTTAAACACAGAAATCTCATGTCATTCATAAACCAAAAGTTCAACTTACCATTTATGTTTATTGCTGGCAATACAATTGACATTTTTGGTCTGGTGGTCTTGTTATGGGTAGTAGCTGGTAACAGCAGGTGATCCTAAAATTAAAAAAAGAACAACGTGTTATATATATATCAACTGGATTAGTCTTAGAACAGGCCAAATTCAGGGTTTCTAAGAGAACATTTCATTGGGATCATGAAAAATGACAGCTTTTGTTTGAACTTGGCTTAGAGATAATTAACTACAAAGTATCTCAGAATCATCATTTAATTCATGTAACACATATACTGAATGTCTATCACTGACAGACACTATGCAGTAATCTTGGAAACTCCTAGGTTCTAATAACATATATGCTGAGTATACTATAAAAAAGTTTTAGTCGGCCGGGCTCAGTGGCTCAGCCTGTAATCCCGAGGTTTGGGATTGCCTGAGCCCGCGTGTTCGAGACCCACCTGGGCAACTTGGTGAGACTTCATTTCTACAACAAATAAATAAAAAAAGAAACTAGCTGGGCATGGTAGGGTGTGCCTGTAGTTCCAGCTACTTGGGAGGCTGAGGCGGAAGGATCACCAGAGCCCAGCAGGTCGAGGCTGTGGTGGCCGGGAGCGGCCTCTGCACTCCAGTCTGGGTGACTGAGTGAGACTCCAACTCAAAAAAAAAAAAAAAAAGTTTTGGTCAAGCAGTCAGGACAAGGAGTTTTCATTCTAGTTCTACAACTAACTAGCTGTATGATCTGGATAAGGTTTCATATTCTTTCTGTGTCTTAGTCTCCAGTTCTGTAACATGACAGAGGCTAGGTTAGATAACTAGAGTTATCTATCACTAAACAGTCATTTTCAAACTTTGTTTTTAAGAAGAGGAACTTTTTTTCCCCAATAAGATTCTTATCCCAGACTATCAGTACTTAAAAGAGAGATTCTCATTGAAGCCAGGCCTAGCCTCCTCTTCTCCCTCTGAAGTGACCACAGCATTAGATATTTACTTTCTAAAAAAATTATACATGTGTTTTCAGCACAACTTTATAGCCCTAAATATAATATAGCCAACTTTTGATATATATAAGTGGCTCAAGGCATCTGAGGTTCCTGGTTTCCAGCCACACAATGACTAAAAGAGTGAGCCAAGAGGAGTCTGGTTTCAGAAAAGGAAGAGCATAAATATTTTGAAAAATGTCAAAAGATATGAACAGACACTTCTCAAAAGAAGATATACGAGCAGCCAACAGACACATGAAGAAATGATCAGCCTCACTAATCATCAAGGAGATGCAAATTAAAACTACACTGAGATACTACCTAACTCCAGTCAGAACGGCCATTGTCAATAACTCAAAAAATAACAGATGCTGGAGAGGATATGGTGAAAAGGGAACACTTCTACACTGTTGGTGGGAGTGTAAACTAGTGCAACCTCTGTGGAAAGCAGTGTGGTGATTCCTAAAAGCTCTAAAAATCGACCTCCCATATGACCCTGCAATCCCCCTACTGGGAATATAACCTGAAGAGCTCAAATCACTCTATAAGAAAGATACCTGCACACGTATGTTTATCGCAGCATTGTTCACAATAGCAAGAACCTGGAACCAACCATGCTGCCCATCAAAAGAGGACTGGATTAAAAAATGTGGTACATATACACGATGGACTACTACACAGCCATAAAAAAGAACAAAATCATGAATTTTGCAGCAACCTGGATGGAACTAGAGTCTATAATACTGAGTGACCTCTCACAGAAACAAAGATCTGAGTATCACATGTTCTCACTCATATAGTGGACCTTGAATATCTACCATAATACTATAAGAAAAGGACTGACAGTGGTGGGAAACTAAGGGAGGTGGGACCAACGGTAGTCAATATCTGTCTGGAGAGGGGGGGACACCCCTTATCAACAAGGGTGCCTGAACCATGCATATTTGTATACTTAACCCTTAACTGTACCCCACAATACTAAAATAAAAAATATGCTAAAAAAAAGAAAAATGTATGTACATCTGTAAGCATCCTAAAGCTGATTATAAATGACTTATGACTTTGATATTAACTACTATTTTTAATAACTCCTCTTCTTCCTCGTAAAAACATAAGAATTGTAACAAAAAAAGAAAAAAAACAAGGTATAGTAGCATTTCTATCTAAGGGGGTGTATTGTTAAACTGGAAAGAAAACTGAACCTAAGTTTAATCCATTTGCTTTCTTTTTTGTTCCTATATTCATTGTTTTGTCATTCATTCAACAAACTTACTGTATGAAAGAACTCTTCAGAAAGTAGGATTTGATTTCAACACAACCTAGCTCAAAGCCAATGTGATTATGAAATGCAATTATCAATGAAGCTAGGAAAAAATCTAAAATGTGAAAAATAAATTAAAATTGATATACATGAACAGAAATGTGCAGAAAACATTCCCAGTAACTACTTGTGCTTTGTGTAATTCAAGGCAACATTTCCACAAGAATATGTTTTCAAAAGTCGGAGAGAAGATGAGTAAAGTTCTGCTAGAATTCCTGTACTGTAGCATAGGAGGCTTTTTTGTTTTGCTTTGTTTTGTTTTTAAATGCATTGTTAGACACAAAGATCACACATTTCTGAAAGCAAGATAACACAATGAAGCAAAAACACAATTTGCTGATGTTCATGCCATGAAAATTATAAATAGCTTAATTCCTATAATTAAAATATGGATTCAGGGTTGCTAAATTGAATGTGAAAACAAATCCAAGAAACTTGCAAGTCCCAAATTAGGCTACTGTAAAAATAAACACACTTAGATTCCATTGGTCATGGGTTAAGGTCAGGTTCAGACTTAATTCTGAGTTTCCTGCTAAGATCTAGATGCCATACTCATTGTTTTCAAACATGGTATCCTAAACATAATGTCTCCTATTTTCTCTCTTCATTAAATTTCAAACAAAGCGGTTACTTTTGCAGCAAAAAGCCAAAAGCTATGTTAGTATTTATGAAAAAGAAGAATCACATCTTGCATGCATACAATTTGTTACAGTTAACCCAGGTAACCTGCCTTGTCTATTATTATTATTTTTTTTTGAGATAGAGAAAGAAAAGTTTATTTAAAAGTAAATTAGAGAGAGGAAGAGAAGGGAGAGAGAAGATTCCCCTCCCCAAGGTGGAGGAGGGGGCCAAAGCCAGGAAGCATGGCAACAGCCATGACTCAAAGAGCACATGGCTACACTAGAGTCTAGCAAGGCAATGACCTATCTCTTATTATTAAAGGTTTGCAAGGGGGTGGGGGGGACTGCCTACAACTTCAAGTGCTTATTTACCAAGAGGCCCAAAGATCAGACTGCAGGGAACCAAAGCTGGTATACTACAAACTCTAACAGTGCTTATCTTATGTTTTAAGGAAATTATATATGTAAATATGTAACTATATGTGTCATATATATATATACATACATACACATACATACACACATATACACACATATACATATGCATACACATACATATACACACATACATAGCTGGCATAGTATATATTTCATGTAATGTTTACCTTCAGTTCCTCAAAATAAATGTTTCTTGAACCTCTTAACAATGAATCTTGAATCATATTTTTCTGTGTTCTTCTTACTCTTTTTGAGATCATTAATCCTTAGTCATATTTTCAAAAACAAAGGTTTAGTTAATTGCTCAATAACTATTTACTGTCTTCTTCCCATTAATTAAAAAACATTTACTGAGCACAGTACCCTGTCATATATCCACTGTTCCCCCAGAGGATGTTTTCTTTTAAATATAAATTCAAGTTTTAATTCTTGTGGAAATAATGTGAATTGTGACAGAAACAGCCATTTCCCCCAATATATGCTCTCCTTCTTTTATAATATTAGAATAGAAACAGGACATGTGATATTTAGTTGAGCACAAAGCTACCCAGAATAAAGACTATATACTCCCTAACCTCCTTTGCAATCAAGTGAGGCTGCATATTCTGGTCAATGGGCTGCAAAAAGTGACACATATTTCTTCAGGATGGTGATGGTGGAATGCCACACTCCTCTTTCCCTTTTCTCCTTCCTGCTAGCCAGAGGCAGTTTTGACTGCTAGAGTTGGAGCAGCCATCTTTGGACCATGAGATGGGTGCTGTAAGTTGAGGATTATGAAGCAACAAGACAGAAGGAGACAGGGATCCTTATGACCAAGGAACAATCATAAGATCTTTGGAACTTATACATAAGAGAAATAAAATTCTAATTTATATAAGCCACTATTATTTTAGATTTTCTGTCACTCAAAGCCTAAAACTAAGCCTAATTACTAGTTATATTATAAATTTGTGAAACAATACTAAAGGTATTTGGTCAAGAGGAATTTCAATATGATTAAAGCAATCGGGGACAGCTTTGTTATTTTTTTAACAGCATAAAAAAGCCCTTTTTATTATTTAGCCTTTTTGATATCCTTCCCTCATATTTTACTTAAATACTTGTTAATGGAGGAAATTCAGTCTTGGAGGCACAGTTTGATGAGTTTGAACTAAATTCTTTCCTTCCAATTAAATCAGTTAAAATAACATAACTGCAACAAAAATGAAACTATTTAAAAATAAAAAGGAAAAGTAGAAAAAAGGATGTTGCTATAGAAATATATATGATATAGGTGGCTCTGTCACTTGAAATTATGTCACTAATTTTAAGACATCTTCAAAAGAACTCTTGAAATGCCTTTATAGGGTTTTATAGGGCTTAGATACATAGAGTATCTTCAGGGATAGAACCATGTGGGCAAATATTATAATCAGAAGTTAGAAATATGGGGGAAAACACCGAAAGATTTCACTGTGAAAATAAAGCATCAGTCTTCCCATGTTGTGCAATATCGTACATGAGAAAATATGCTACTTTTAAACAGTTATCCCAATTCCCTCTTCTAAGCACTGTATTAGAAATAGACAAAATATTACTGCATAACACAGTATCCAAAGTTATCTGTTTCTTCTTTTTTAAAAAAAGCAAAAACATTAGAGACTGACTTATCAGCCAGTTGCAGCTTAAGGTTATGGTAGTAACACACTAAAATTAAGACACTCCTGAGAGTTATCAAATGTTAATTCTACATATACATG